TTATAAGTTTTATCTCTGGCCTGCTCTACTCCACTACAGAAACAGATTGCACTTAACATCATATATTTTTGCAGTTTCATAATCTCTTCAGCCCTTAAAACAAATGTGAAGTTGGCTCTATTGACTGTTACAGGATCTGGACTTGAAGCAGGGGGGGTGTGTTAGATTCTGTCTGCCTGTGTTTGCAGGTCTTCTTTTTTTGTGGGTTTTTTCCCCTCAGTGACTGTACCTTTTAAATTGGTGTTTTGAGTTCTGAGGAGGTTGTGAGGACTTAAATTGTTGGCACAGGAGAATTGCAAGGATATAATGTCTACAATAAAGCATCCCATTTATCTACTGATGCCTGCGTTTTTTGAATTATAAACCACTTAGGGATGTACAGACAATCAGACAGCTGAGCTAGCTAAACATTCTCAAACTTATTATTCTGCATAAATACTGGGATAGATAACAGAATGAACCATCCCAGCATGCTAGTTTTAACTCTGGATTCATTTTAGTATAAAGTTAAGCTCTGGAGAGAAGGAGAAAATATTTTTGACATTTACATGTTGCTTGAATCCTGAATGCCAGCCTTGTACAGACTGTTCGATTTTAGCAATAAAATTGGAGTAGCTGGAGGAACAAAGACATTTTTGTTTCAGACATCACCAATAGGGTCCTCTGAAGGTACTTGGGTAGTTTTGGTTCTACATGCTTTCCAATCAAAAGGCTCAGATACATGTTGCCAATTATTGAAATCTGCCATAGTTTTTGAACAGAACACAAAATACTTCCAACTCAAACACAGAGATATGATTCCTGTTTTGATGAACAATGAAGAAGGGAAGGGGAAAAAATAAAGCATTAAATTATGATGTCTGGCATTACCAGATCTATTTGACTTTCATCTGGGCAAGGGACATTATGTTGTGAATGCTAGAGACAGGCCCTATCTTTTTGTTGGACAAAAATTCTTAAATACCTTTAAACCTTTCAGTCTCAACTAGACTGGCCTATTTGAAAGAAGGAAAAAAATTCTGAAAGCAACTAATGCTGCAATAAATTAGCCTCAGCAGTATATCCGTACCAGGATATGCAGAGACTGATTATCCTAAGGAAGCAAAGCAAACACTGTAGGCTTTAGCCCTCTTGTATAAATCCCCTTGCAATTCACTTTAACTTTCCTTCTCTTTCTTTGTTGAGTCCTGGGAGATGTTATGAGTAAGTAAAAGCTGGTGCCCTCCTAATCACCCTTCAACTCTTCCCATCTGATCAGTTTTAATGGTGCTGAAGTGCAGTGCTAGTCATAACTGTTCTCCACAGAAGCTACCCAATTGACTGCTCCTCTGAACAGTTTTCCTAAAGAAGAGGAAGCTATATGGAGTCTGCTAAGAAGGATTTTTTACATATATAAATGTATATAATAATACATATACATTGTGGTTTCTCTTTATGCAGAGCAGTTATCAAGTCTGTACAAACTTTAAGGGATAATATCTCAGGTGAGAGGCATGACTGGCTCAGGAACTATATCTGCTTGCCTGTTTACGTTCTCACTTAGGGTTGAGGTCACCTGCCATCCTTTTAACTAATCAGAGGAGACAGAAGTAATCAAAGCACAATATCAGTGCTCTGAGGATGTCTTTCCTGCATAGCCTCTCTGTACGTTCATCTGCAAATCTTGCAAAGTAATGTAGGCATATACAACCAGAAGAAAAGAACAGGGGAGAAGGTTTGGTCTGAGATCCAGCTAAAGGAAAAAATGTATTGCTGAATCTCATACATTACCTGGAAACACAGGTGTAATATTTATTGAGGAATTTCCCATGTGTGACAAGAAAAAAACACTAGTTCATTAAATGGTAGCCCTTCACAGGAAAATTCAACAGATGTCCAGATGCACAGATGTAAAGTGCAAAAAGTAGGTGAAAGTGTTTATTTTTCAAAAAAGTAAATTAGCCTGCTGACTGCTCATTGTCCTTAAGGGACTATCCATAAGAGAACATGCCAGTTTGTGCGGAGTTATTAATTTTGCTCTCTGAAACTTCCTCTACTAGATACCTTTGTTAGGCTCTGATAAACAGTATTAAATAGCTGTCAGGTCCTGCCTTAGAGATCAGTGCACTTTAGCATTGACTGAAACTCTTCCTGTGGATTTGACCCTTAAAAAGAGCTTTATACTGTGGATGAAAGGTTTGTATCTGAAGGAAAGACCAGTGAAAGCAAGCCAGAGTTCAGGGATAGAAAGCACATCTGACTTGTTTTCCTCTTTCCTAGTTGTACAGTGGGCTGGTAGTTTGCCTTACCTTGCAGACTCTTGCACATCTTGAAAGGATTTAAAGGATTTACCAGTATCAGCCTGTTCTCTCAAAACTAATTTCTCTTTGCAATGCTGCTGTTGTGATGAATCATGCATTAGCGTGATTAGCAGAGAGAGGTACAATTACTTTTTTGCAGTAGTGGCTGGCAAAGGATTGCCTGGAAGCCCAGATGTGACAGAGGTGGAAATATGAAGAGAATGGAGAGATGGAAAACAGAAGGAAGAAGACTAGTAACTGAACACTACCGGGAACTGGTACCTGAATGAGATGGACCTTCCCTCTGAGCAAGTGTGGCTATTCTCATGCATAAGAAGCTGTTTATCAGCAACTATTTGTACCAGATGGTACTCCTCAAGCACAAATTAAAAAAATAATTACAGAGACACTGACAGATACTGAAGAAGAAAAATAAGCTATCCTGGAGAAGGTTTAATAATTTTACCAGGCAATAGGAAAGTGCTTGTCAAAATTAAAAAGAAGAGGAATGGGGAGACAGTAGAAAAAGAGATAATTAAGAGTAGGAGAGCACAGGCCACTTGCATGGCTGTTCCCACATGGTCTCCTTTCTTGGGAGGGACAGCAAGCTTCTTCCTAATGCTGGTTGTTCTTAACCTGCTTGAAGAACGAGATGCTGAGATGATACCAGGCTCCTAAGAGCCTTTGAAATTCAAGTTCTCAGTGGAGAGGGTAGAAAACTTTTAAATGACACAAAAGTGAAACAAAGCATTTTCTATTTCTATAGTGTAAACAACAGTAATCTTTTGATATCTTCAATATCTTTTCCTTGTTCCCCAATAATCTCATTTCTCTCATTGTCAAGTACGAATGCTTCCAACGCTCCTGAATTTCTATCAGTCTTGGCGGCCTAAAATTGTAGAGTGTAATCTCTTATAGGTGGCAGGGCAGCTTATGTGAAAGGTCCAAAGCAAAGGTTTAGTGCTTGAAGCATCCAAATCAAAGGAGCACCTTCAGTCATTGGGGTAATCATAGAATCATGGAATGGTTTGGATTAGAAGGGACCTTAAAGGTCCTTTAGATCATTTCAACCCCCATACCATGGGCAGGGACACCTTCTACTAAACCAGGTTGCTCAGAGTCCCATCCAACTTGGCCTTGAAAAGTTCCAGGGATGAGGCATCTACAACTTCTCTGGGCAACCTGTTTCAGTGTGTCACCACCCCAGTAGAGAACTTCTTCCTAACATCCAATCTAAACCTGCCCTCTTGCAGTTTGAAGCCATTCCCCCTTGTCCTAAATATGTGGCCCAGCCTCACCCAACACTGAAGTCACTTAAATCATGTTGACCTGAGCGTGAATCTCAGACTAACAGCATGGACTGAGTAGCTGACGTGTTGGTCCCACTTCCCTCCCATTTGACGGGAAACCCTGACAGAGAATCATAGAAGCATTAGGTTGGGAAAGACTCCGGAGGTCATCGAGCCCAACCACTGACGCAGCTCACGCTGTCTTTATCCAAACGACCCTAGAACGAGACCTCGCCTCTCGCCCAGTCCGGCCCCAGGATATTTGGGTGCAGGGCACGATCGAGAAGGCGACGCGGCGGCTCCGTGCGGGGCTCGGCGGACCCTCTCGGCCGCTCGGTGCCTGCTGCCGGGACAGCAGAGGGAAGGATGGCAAGGGGAGACGACGGGAGACAGGAAAAGAGGGAGGGAGCGGCGCTCCTCTGCCGCCCTCTGCTGCGGGGCCCCGCTCCGCTCCCTCCGAGCGCCTGGGAAAGTGGCGGTCCAGGGACAGCTCCGTGCATTCAGGCGAGGGGAGCGCCGCTGAGAACGCTTAGTACGAGGAGATGCCCGCCCCTGTCTCTGATGGATGGGATAGGGGTACCTGCAGGGGAAAAGGCTGGCCCAAGAGGTGGAGACACATTACAGATACGCCTTGGGGGATCAAAACTTGACCCCTGTGCTTCCAGAGCAAACTTAAATTTAGCAGATGCTGTCCATTTTTTTCGTAAAGATGATTAACGTCCCGGTTAAGAGTGCGTAAGTTGGTAGAAACTACGTATTTAACAAGTTTTGTGATGACACCTAAATAACTTTAATTGAAACTTAAGCTGCACCTACAAATGCCGCATTAATCTGCGAGGCCTCGGAGACAAGGGCACACAGGTGGCACCAGAGCGGTGCGGAGGCAGGTGGCGGAGCCCCCACCCGCGGGGACAGCAAAGGCACAGCAAGCCAGGCCGCCACCCGGCACGGCTTTTCCCGCATCCCGAGCACGGCTGGCGCCGTGGGATGGCGGCCGCACACGGGCTGCACACGAGGGGCTGAGGAGTCAGGGCACAGTGCTTGTTTCCATTCACTTTCCACGGGCAAAAAGCTGTTGGGAGGGCTTTTATTCCGAGTGAACAGTCAGTACAGCACCACAGGTGTCCGCCGTGTAGCTGCCCCTCACGGCCTCCCCAAGCGCGGCTGTACCGAGGTCGGCACCACTCTGGTGCCCAGGGAGGCCAGGTTCTCCCTCTCTCTCACTGCTCCTCTCCTCCCCTTTTTTTCTTCCTGTTACTCCTCCGCTCCCCTGCCATTTCCCTCTCTCCCGCTCCGCGCGCGCACAGTCGCTGGCGGGGTGGGGCTAGCCCCGCCCCTCTCAGCGAAGGCTCCCATAGGCCGCCGCCGCTGCCAATCACCGAGGGGCGGGGTTCGGCGCCTTCCTGCCCCCCGCTGCTGAATCCACCGCCGAGTAACGGATTGCGGCGGCGATCGATTCTCTCGGCTTGCCTTTCCGCCCCCCCCTTCCCGGTCACACGCACCATCCCAATCCTGCTCCCGATCCCGGTGCGAGGGGATGTAGGAGGACGCACGGCCGCAGGTACCCGGGCAGCGCCGCCGCCACGTCCCCCGGCGCGCCGCCTACCGCCTGCAAGAGCGGGCGCAGCCGCCGCGGCCGTGTGGCGCTCCTCGCGGACACCGGGACGGGGCACCGTCGTTCCCCGTGCGCCCCACCCCGGCCCCGCCTCGCTCTCCGTGCCTTCCCGCGCCCCGGGGCCATGGAGCACGCGTTCACGCCGCTGGAATGCCTCCTGCCCGCCGGTACGGTACCTCCCGCCCCCGCCAGCACCGGGGGGCGAGCGAGGGGCGGGGCGGCCCCGGTGGCGGGCGGTGCTACCGGGGCTGGGCGGGATGGGGGCTGCGCTGTGCCTCCCTCACCGCTGCCTCCTGCCTGGGCTGTGTTTCTCACCCGGGCTGTGCCTCCTGCTCCGGCTCTGCCTCCCGTCCTGCTTCTGCCCCCCGCCCCGGCCCCCGCCGGGTGCCGCCTCTGCCGCCCCCTCGGTGTGTGCTCGGTGTGCAAGCACCGTGGTGTCTTTGCCCTGCCCTGCTTAGGCTGCTTTCTTTTCAATACACCAATTTGTTACCGTGTTGGAATCAAAGATTTGTGTTTAAAGCCCCCAACCCCCCTGGAGTTAAAGATTTGTGTTTAAAGCCCCCCAGCCCCTCCGAGTTCAGTCGTTCCCTCCCGCTTGCTCGCCGCCGTTTCTCGGCTCTGCGGGGCAGAGCGTCCCGGTGAATCCTGTCTTATCTCCTGTCTGTCTGCTGGCCTGGCTTCCCCTTGGCTCCCTGGCCCTGCCCATGTGCTCTGTCCTGGAGACACCCGTGCGCCCCGCTTGCCCCTTCAGTTCTGCACAGCAAAGCTTTGAGGGTTTTCTTTGGTTTTCCCAAGCTGTCCTCCAGTGCTCTGCTTTTGGTATTATTTTTGAGACCTGAGAGGTGATCCTTATTAATATATATAATTAACATCATTACCTGTCTAAAGCATGGAGCACATGAACCAAGCACAGACTGTCTAAGTGGCTTGTATGCTGTTTGGAATAGGCACCTCTTCTTCACTATGTGTTTGCAGTGTCTAATTCAGTAGGGTCCAATTTGTTATTCAGTGATAACATTATAAATAGTAAATATTTTTATCTTTTTATAACGTGATTTTAAAGCTGCATAAAAATAATTTGGGCATAGCAGCTGAATTCTAACTTACTATGCTCTTTTCTGCTCTGTTCTGGCACACAGACCAGCTGCCACAGTGAGGTATATGTTGTTATTCACTAGTAAGATCTGTAGGAAAGGCAGAGTTTAACAGGATGTACACTTTTAACAATTCAATACATTTTTATAGCTAGCAGTTTAAGAGCATGCTTAAACTCATTCCAGTATTTTTTTTTTAAATTATGTTTTGCTCTGATTCTTAAAAACTTCTTCAGGATATGTTCAAAGCTAGTAACAGAGCTGTACTCAATGTATTCCTGCCAGAAATGTATATTTGACACTGCATGTATGTGTATTTTGAGATGCACTGTTGCTTTGGATGGAAAGAGGGAATGAATATGGAGGTGAGATTTTAATGGGTTAATTTTGATTCATTGCAATGTGATGTCCTCTTGTGTGAAATGAGGAATAAGTGCTTGCTAAGTATGTAATAAGGCAAGACAGAAAGGTACCTTAAGAATTTAAGGCTACACAGTTGATAAGAGAACTGGATAACCTCACTTATGAAGACAGGCTGATAAAGTTGGGGCTGTTCAGCCTGGAGAAGAGAAGGTTGTATGGAGACCTCATAACAACTTTCCAGTATCTGAATGGGGCCTACAGGGAAGTTGAAGAGCGACTCTTCGTTAGGAACTGTAGTGATAGGACAGGGAGTAATGGGTACGATTTGAAAGAGAGGAAATTTTGGTTGTATTTCAGGAATAAATTCTTTACTGTGAGGGTGGTGACACATTGCAACAGATTGCCCAGCGAGGTCGTGGATGCCCCAACCCTGGCAGTGTTCAAAGCCAGGCTGGATAAGGCCTTGAGCAACATGGTCTAGTGGGAGGTGCCCCTGCCCATGACAGGAGGATTGGGACTAGATAATCTTTAAGGTCCATTCCAACCCCTTAACATAATTTTATGAATTTATCCCTGTGGAAGTACAGGCATCGTTGTTTACATTCTAAGATAGTTGCTATTGATAGATGTTGTATGATGTTGGGGCTACCATATGTTCTTAGTTTCCAGGAGTTGCCTGTCTGGTTGGTTTTTTGTGTGTGTGTTTTTTGTTTTGGTTTGGGGTTTTTGTTTGTTTGTTTGTTTTTCTTTTTGGTTATGTCTGGTTGGCTTTGAAGATCTGGGATGTTTGTTCACAGTTTTCTGGTGACCCACAGCCCTCTCACATCAGAGGCTTCAGCTGGAGGTAAAGAAGCCCACTTCTTCCAAAGAAATGTCTGATACATACGTACGAATCAGTTGGCTATACAGGATGTTGTGCCTGTGAAATACACAGTGGTGCTATATATCCTTGTCATCATTACAAACATTCATTATGAAAATTACCAATTGGCTTAGCCTGCTCAAAGTATTCAAGGCTGAGCAGATTTATTTGGCAATTCCACAGTTTAAACTGTGGTATCCCCCTAGGCAAACTCAGAAAAAAGATTTTCAAAATTGGGTAGGTAAAATGAGGCTCCTGATTTCTTCTGGAGGAAGTACCTACCAGTAGTTCCTCCATCTGTTTGCTTCAGTGGGATACATATTTAAAGGTCCAAATAATGTAAAGCTAATCAATGTAGAACATGGCACTTCTTAGAGGCTAGATGTGAGCTTACAAAATAAACCCTTGTGAGGCCATTGGAGCACTATGGACCTTGCCCCTTTCCTAAAAATACTATAAATAATATGATGTATGGCAATGTATATAATGTTTCTGCTTGTTTTCTAAAAGCTCTATGTAAACATAGTGGTACATTATGATGTGGAGCCTGTGAAAGATTTGTCAGCTATTTTTGGAGGTTATTAACTTTGTTTCTCTTTTTTGAAGGTGTTCAGAAATTATATTTATACTGAATAGAAAAAAACACAGGTTTTGAAACTCAACATTAGGTACCTGCATTGGAATTTCAGGGCCATGTGTGCTTTGGTAATTTTAGGCAGTGTAGTTAGAGCGCATTCTTAGATTGTACGTCTCCTATATAGCATCTGATTGAAGTCCAAGTAGTGGGTATTTGAGAACTGCTGTGCTAACTGATATGCTCAGGGATTTCAAACATTATTCAGTCAAACAGCTGGAGCACTGTTGAAAATCACCATGCTACAGTTAGAACACTGTGCTGTGGGCTTTAGAGCTGTGTTGATTTGCTTAATGTAGTTCGGAATGTGTAATGAGGTAGAATTTAAAGTGGGATTGAGCTCTAAATTTGTGTCTTGCGTGCTGAAACAAGTATATTTTCTTTTCCTCATGAAATGAAACTGTTAAAAAGGTTCACAGAAGTCCACTATAAAGTCCTGTACCCTGTGCTGAAAGGGTCAGGCAGAAGCTTCACAGGGTGAAGCTGTTGTAGAAGGCTCATCATGATGTCACACTACGGCCTGTGAATTCATGACAAGAATAGCTTTGTTTGTTCTGGAGCATCCTTTGATAGGCTCGACATTTCCTTCCTGCTGTTTATCCCCTTTTCTTGCACTGTCATTGCCTCCTGCTGCTTGTCCCAGACTGTGCTGCAGGCACTTCTGCAGAGAGACAAGTGTTTTTAATTTATTATTTTAATACCATGAACTTCAGGAGCTGAGTGTGCTGTGCTTGTGACTGCTTAACAGTGGAAGTACTGCAGCATCCTCTAATAAGGTTGCCCCTGAATACCACTTAAGATTTTGAGAAGAGCAGAGTGCCAGTTTGCTAAGCTGTGTTTTCTCACAGGGAATGTTTTACATTGCCTTTCATGATATGGCCTGGATTTTCACTCATCTCCGGATGTGATTAATGATTGGCCTTGCACAGTCCTTAAAGTGTGGCTTATTATTGGTTTTGTCAAGTGGAGTGATGCAGAAGGAGGTATCTGCCTTAGTTTATAATCCAACAGCTTCTGATATGAGTGTCTAGCCTTGTTGAGGTGCAGGGGCAGCAAAGAAGCACCGAATCTGGTCCTTCTGCTCTCTTCTGTTCCTTGCCATCAGTGAGGGTTTGTTCCCCTGTTCCTGCTTCTCCATGCCCCGAGTCAAATGTGCTCCTGAACTGTGCTGCATTGACAGCTAGTTTTTAAGACTTGGTTTGCTTGGTTTGCTGAGAAGTGAGAGTGCTATCTTCATCTCACTGAAGCAAGGTCATCTATATGCCATGAGAGACAGAGCCACAACAAATAGGATAAAGACTGGAAAATATATAGTTGTCTCTTTGTGCAAAGGGACTATAAAATTCTGCATTGAATGTAAAGCAAAGAGAACAAGAGGAAGCAACAATACGCTGTGGATGCTCTTCCATCATTCTGCAAGCTTGATTGTGTCTTGCTTTACTGTATGTCTTCTCTTGCAAGTGTTACTGACTGGAAACGGTTTACCTCTGAAAGGATTGTATCACCACATTCCTTTTAAATGCCTGGGGCTTGAACTTCTTCCTTAATGTTCCCTTTTATCTGACACTAAGGATTGAAAGTTATTTTGTGAAACAATGGCATGTTTGCCATTCAGTGAATGACCTCCAGCCTGGTACAAGTGCCAATGACTATTTAAATACCCCTTCACTAGAGCTCTATGTGGTCTCTATGATGCCTTATCTTGCAATCTAATAAACAAAATTCTGTGATAGAAATCGAGACAGTCATGGGATTAGGAAATCAGTCTGATGGTCTCTGTTAGCTCTTGAATATCAAAGGCATATGGAAAGGGTGTGGGATCCCAAACTATTGGATAGTGCTGTAATTTTATGGAGTTTGTGCCACTGCTGTTGATCAAACTAGTGAAGTTTTCACGTGAATCAGATCATTGAAAAACTATTATCGAGTTCACCAAAGCTGAAAAATATTAGCAGAGGTGGAGTTCCTTGATGAAATTAGGAAGCACTTCCATATGGGTGTTATACTGTTCTGTCTTTTTTAATTGAAACACATTTAAAATGCCTTTTTTTTTATTTTATGTGGATGTTGCTGACCTGCTCCTGCTCTTTGTTTTGTGTAAGAAGCAACATCGTTCATTTGGTCTAGTCACCTGGGATGCTTTAGTTTGTTTTTGAAGTAGCTGTTAATACTCAGCCTCGGACCCTGCTGCTTGCTAATCTGCTGTGCTGGGTC